CTCAATGCTGCGAGGCCTGGCCGTGCCCTGAACCGTCAAGATGGACGGTTCAGCCCCAACCGGCGGGCGGCAGCCTCAAGAGCGCCGCCAGGCCCAAACGGTAATGTCGTTTGGGCCTGCCCGTCGGGTCTGGTCCAAAGTGAGGCCTTTACGGCCTGTAGTACCCCCAAGGTCGGGCCTTTAGGCCCTACTGTGTCCCTCTAACCCTAAGTCGGGTCCGGTAGGACCCGTGTGGCGTCGAAGATGTAACAGGTAGGCAGGCAGGAGAAGACAGTACCTTTGGAGGCTGAAGGAAAATTAGAGTTCGGTAGGTGTTACATTCTGCGACTTCACACGGGCCTTCACAGGACCGACATATCGGTTCAGGGGGTACCCAGGCCTGCCTCGCCAAACGCCAGGCCTTTTTCTCGCGGTAGGCCCTGTTAGGCCACCGGTTGGCGCCGCAGCGCCCAGCAGACCAGGGTTGGCCCAAACGACATGACCGTTTGGGCCTGGCGGCGCTCTTGAGGCTGCCGCCCGCTGGTCTGAGCTGAACGGTCATTTCGACGGTTCAGCCCACGGCGCAGGAGGCCAGCATCGAGGCCGACCGGCTGCCGGCCGGTACTTATGCCGGTCCAGCGGCCATTCTCACAGGTTGGGAACAGCAGCAGCAGCCGGCGTTAGCGCTGCACTATTTCGGGTTCAGCACTGTTACATGCCCAGTTGGGCGATGTACATACAAACCGAGGATCCGCAATGTGATAAAAAGGACTGAATGGACAATGCAGTGCAAGTAGAATCTCAACAAGCAATGTGCATTCTCATACATACAAAATGGTGCTGAATAGCGCAGGGAAGACTTAGATACAAAGCCTGACCTGACCGGGACTGACCTCATTCACATAGTATCAGATAGCGAAGCAGAATGCTAGAATGCTAATGACTAGCCCAATCAATGTTTGAACGCAGACCAAACATACATCGTATCCATCACCAGGTGTGAAGGAGCCTGGCGCTGTACACAGGAAGAAAGCGCCAGGTCCAGACATACACAGACCAAGAGGGGGGAATCAGTCGAAAGGAGGGAGAGAGATGGGAATGTCGTCAACACCAAGTCCACAAGTCCCAAATAATCCCTCGTTGCAATGTCTGAAGTCCAAAAGTCGAGTCTGGATCCGATGTCACTAAGCTCTTTCTCTCTTCTCTCATAGTCTGCAGATGCAGTGAAGTCAGATGATGAGAGGGGGAACAGGAGATGGTGGACTGAGAAGAGGAAGAAGAAGGACTCTCTCTCTCTGTTACGAGCCAGATACTAACCTGTGATGTTGGCGCTGTGCTGCAGGTACCTCGAAGACGAAGCTGGAGCAACGGCACTGCAGGTAAGTACCTCTGGCCTCCGCCCAATCTCTCTCTCTCTCTAGTGCTATCCTAGCTATGGCGCCCAGCGCTGGAGACTGCAGCTACCTACTGCGCCCAGCGCTGAAGACTAAAGGCTAACGCTACTACTACCCTGCAGCGCTCCCTCCAGAGTGCTGCTGCCGAATCCTAAAGACTACTACTGCCTCCTGCCTACCCGTGAAGTGCATGGGAAGTCACTATGTACTACCTCGGCCTGCCTCCTGACTGCCTGAAGGGCGAGCCAGGCCGAGGAGGCTGCTCTTGACAATGCCGAAGTGTGCCAGGGGCTGGCGCTGCAGCAGCTGCTGAGGCTGGCGTGGGGAACAGGCTAAGAATAGCCTGTTCCCGAAACCCTGGTTCGGTGCCTGAGTTTCAGGGCCGGTCGTTCATATGGCCCTTCGTTTCAGGCTAAAAAGGCTGTTGCCATTTTTAGTCTGAAACGACACAGGGACTGTAGGCCCCTGTTTTCAGGCTTTCGGCCTGAACAGTCACGGGGCCTGTAGGCCCTGGTTTTCAGGCTTTTAGCCTGAGGGATGCAGGGCCTGGAAAATGGCCCTCGTGTGCAGGCGCAGCATGTAACAACAGCGCTAAGGGCTGCAGCGCTAAGCTTAGCGCACTGCCACCTAGGAGGAGCGAGGAGGAGCGAGGAGGACTTGCCTGGTAGACAGCGGGGCGCCATAGCTCCAGCGACTTCCAGTAGGCCTCCCGCCACAGCCAAGGCGCCAGCTTGCCAACTGCAGGTTAGGTGTGAGGCTACTCGCCATCTTCCCAACTCCCTTCTTCTTCTCCCTCTTCTTCTTCTTCTTCTTCTTCTTCTTCTTCTTCTTCTTCTTCTTCTTCAGACTTATTCTTCTTCTTCTTCTTCTTCAGATTGGAGACTTTGATATGAGTTGGACAGAGATCAGTGTTTGAACTTCAGTGGTAAGAGGCTGTGATACTTACCGGATTCGAGACTTGGAGATAGTTGGGATTGATACTCGGCGGCATCACAGATTGGACACCGGTTACATTAGGACTTTGTACCTCCGACATTGGTGACTTATTGTCCACGACATTCTGATCTTTGTTCGGTGACATTTTGGACCACCATATCGGTGACCTTCCGGATGCTATCTCGGTGACATCTGGCGCTGCCTATAC